TATTGTTTAATGCACTGGGTGTGATGGTAATCCCAGCACTTGGGAGACTGAGATAGGAGGATCAGGAGTTTGAGGCCAGACTCAAACTTTGATGTCCTGTCTCAAAAAAAAAAAAAAGGAAAAAGAAAGAAAATCATTTTATTCCTACAGAGGATAATGCTGAGTAAGGGTCACTTTCACTGGATAAAGCTATTAAAAAAAAACATAGAAGTTACTTTTGAAAGTTTCAATTTGGTGGATTGTATTATTCACACTCAATTCAGAAGCTTCAACAATAATCAATTTCAGATTAATATTTGAAACACTAGCTGGGCGCTGTCGGCTCACCAGTAATCCTAGCTAACCAGGAGGCTGAGATCCAAGGATCATGGTTCAAAGCCATCCCAGGCAGGAAAGTCTGTGAGCCTCTTATCTCTAATTAATCACAGAAAAAGCCAGACGTAGAGCTATGGCTCAAGTGGTAGAGCATTAACCTTGAGCAGAAGCAACTCAGGGAGAGTGCCCAAGCCCAGAGTTCAAACCCCAAGACCAGAAAAAAAATGGAACACTAATGTACACCTTCTTTTATTCAATGTTTATCTTTAGATCCACATAAGACCCGAAAAATCAAGACAATCGTGCAGGAGGTGGTCAACGGTGAGGTAGTCTCATCCCAAATCCAGGAAACTGAAGAACAAATATAAAATCCTACAAGATCAGCCCATGCTTCCTTAGGAAGAAGAAATTTACCACTTTCACAGTAAAACACTAGCCTAGTTTAATCTCTGCTATGACCTGTTTAATTTTCTATGAGTTCCCACATCTACTGAGTCTCTTTTGCCCTTCTGAAACAATATTCCTTTACAAGTTCCTGTGTTCGCACTGGACTTCATTACAAACCAACATCACCTGCCATCTTTCTGGCCCAGGAATTGTCTTTCAGTAAACTTTCTTCTGATCACCTGGTCCATTTTAAGAAAAACACAGGAGCTTTGCTGAAGTAGTATTGTTCATAGAGCTAGCTTCAATAAAGATTGATAGCAATAACATGGGGAGCATGTTTGCTTGATTTTCACAATAATATCAAGCTCCAGTATCAAATGTTAATGATTACCTACAGCCAAACACAGCACCAAGATGTTGAAGTTGGAGATTAAGTTTAAGAAGATTCTTCTGGAAGTTCTGTCCTGTTTACATCAACCCATTTGGATTGTCAATTTATATTGTCCACTAAAGGGGACAACAGTTACCCTGTTCACTTCCTAACATCTTTCATACAGTTAAGAAAATGCTTTTTTGAGTGCTTACAGCATGCCCAATTGGAGATTCAGTGATGATTAAGACAGTCTTTACCTTGAAGTGTTCAGAGGTGACCAGAAAACAGTGACCCAGTGAGAGAGGTCTCCCAAAAGTTGGAAGGAGATATGGAGAAAGAAGTGGTCAGTTTGTGAGGGAGGAATTAAAATGCATACCAAAGCTAAGCAGACAGAGAGCAAGAGAAAGGAGATTGCACATACATATAACAAGTCCCAAGGGTGGGAAGAAGCTTATTTGACTCCTTCTCCTAGCTGGCAGCAGTGAGGCCCAGAGTGGGGTTTCAACTGGAGCGAGTCAGACCCACAAAGTCAGCAACGGAAGCCAAATTGTAGTTTGGGACAGAAGATAGCCAAAGTCTAAGCCATACTAATGGAGCATTATATCAAGGGTGATTTGATCTAGGTTGCCAAATTCAAAACCCTAAACAAGAATAGGAGTGTGTGTGTGTGTGTGTGTGTGTGTGTGTGTGTGTGTGTGTGTGTGTGTGTGTGTGTGTGGCTCTGAAGCCAGAGAGGGTTGAAATCATTGTTCTACTACTACTTAATAACAAGCAACATCATCTCTGCGTGCCTCTATTTCTTGATCTTTAAAGCACACATGGTAGTGATGACGGTAGCTGTCTGTTGGGTGGGTTTTGTGAGGACAAACTGAGGTAATAAACATAAAACATCAAGAAAGCACTTAATTTTTGAGGGGTGCCCTTTTCTTTGTTTTGCATACTGGGAATGGAACCCAAGGCCTCAGAGGTCCAGGCAAGCATCTTACCACTGAGCTACACTTCCACCCAGAAAGTATTCATATGAGGCTCCCATTTTTGGTTAGTCTGGAACCGAAATGGGTTGGAGAAGCCTGGTGAACCACGAGCAGAGAGTGTTTAAGGAAGCCAAGGAGAGAGAAGGAATGGAGCTGAATGCAAAACCAACAGGGGATTTTA